AAAGGAGGAGAATTGTCTCCAAAAAAGGTATCTGGGTTAGAGATGGATCAAATAATGCAGCTTGGAATAAGTTTAGAATTTATGGAACTGTTGATTCATGGTAAGAAAGTAAATTGTTTATAGATTCTGGAAATGAATTGATGTTGTAAGAAATCCCTTTTTCCGAATAAATTATCAAATGGTTGTATGGAGCTCAAAAGTTCGTTGGTCACGTGGTTAAAGGGAAACGGCTAATTTATTTTTTCTTATGCGAAAGCAAAAACAAAAAGATAGAAGCAGCGATGGTTGATGACTGATAACAGACGTATTCCCCCCCCCTTTCTGTCTTCTAAAAATGATCTGTTGTGACCAGGTGATGATTACGCAATATGAAAAGATTTCCACTTCTCGGAAAGGAATTTTTTTGTCTTTTATTTCTGCAGCCATTGAGGGAGACAGCGAAACAGATTTATGGCATATTAAAGATGAAGGATTACGCAATACTGTTTCCACTCTTATTAATGAGTATAAACCGTCAGAAGAGCCGCGCAGTACAGATTTAAAAATGAAAGTAATATTAAAAGATGATATTCCAGTTTCTCAGCGTTCGAGGAGAATTCCTTTTGCTGGCCAAGAAATTGTTGATAATCAAATAGATGAATGGTTAAAAAATGGGATTATAAGGCCGTCGTGTTCAGAATATGCTTCGCCAATTGTTTTGTGTAGGAAAAAATCGGGCAAGACAGGAATCTGTGTTGACTTCAGGCAATTAAATAAAAAAATAGTTAAGGATTCTTTTCCTATGGCACAAGTAGAAGAGGTTTTAGATCGTTTGGGTGAAGCAAAGGTTTTTACGACATTAGACTTAAAAAATTGGTTTTTTCATGTTCCAGTGGAGGAAAACTGTACTAAATGTTTGGCATTTATTACTCATGCAGGCTTGTATGAATTTCTAAAAGCACCTTTTGGTTTGTGCACGTCCCCTAGTGTATTCCAAAGATTCTTTTTTAATGTGTTTAGAGACTTAATTCGGGATGACACTGTGTTTACTTACATGGACGATTTTATTATTCCAGCGCGAAACGAGAAAGAAGGTTTAGAAAAGTTGAAACGCGTTTTAGAAGTAGCCAAAGGATATGGTTTGGAGATTAATTTTAAGAAATGCCAATTTTTGAAAAAAAAAATAGAATTTCTCGGGTATGTTATTGAGGATACAATTCGCCCCTCTACTGAAAAAACCAGGGCTGTTCAAAATTTCCCGGAACCCAAAAAACCTTAAGCAGATTCAAAGTTTCTTGGGCCTTACTGGGTATTTTAGGAAATTTATTGCCAACTATTCAAAAATAGCGAAACCACTAAGTGATCTTCTTCATAACGGAGCATAATTCACATTTGGGCCTGAGCAAAAAGATGCATTTAATAAATTGAAAGAACTTTTATCCACAAGTCCGGTTCTTCATATTTTTAAACAAGGAGCACCATTAGAATTGCATACAGACGCAAGCAGTCATGGTTTCGGCGCTGTATTGCTACAAAAGTCAGATGATGGGCAGTTACACCCCATTTACTTCATGAGTAAAAAAACGAGTCTCCAACAAGAGAAGCTATCTAGTTATGAGCTTGAAGTTTTAGCTATAGTAGAAGCTCTAAAGAAATTCAGGAATTATCTTTTTAGGATCTAGGTCAGGATAGTTACGGATTGCGATGCTTTCCAGAAGACCATGTTTAAGAAAGATCTAACTCCTAAAGTGGCGAGATGGGCGTTACTTCTAGAAGAATTTGACTATGAAATTGTTCACAGATCTGGGCAACAAATGAAGCATGTGGATTCATTAAGTAGAAAACGCTGTTATGATGGTTACTTGTTCTCAGGGAGAAGTTTACAGCCAAATTGCAGCTGCGCAAAGGAGTGATGAGCGTCTCCAGTTGCTAAAATCCTTAGTCGAACAAGGACTAAAGAAAGATTTTCTAGTGAAAAATGGAGTATTATACAAGTTCGGCAGTGGTCGTGAGTTACTTGTGGTACCCGAAGCATTAGAGCTAGAAATCATAATTAGTATCCACAACAAGGGACATTTCGCAGTGTCTAAAACAGAAGATCTGCTGAAAACCGAATTTTTTATTCCTAACCTTAGAAAACGAATTGAACAAGTTATTTCAAATTGTGTAGAATGTATTTTGTGCGACAGAAAACGAAGTAAGAGCGAAGGATTGCTGAATCCCATACCAAAAGATAGTATCCCTTTGAGCACTTTTCATATCGATTTTATAGGACCATTACCGTCGACAAATAAGAACTACAATCACATCTTAACCGTGGTTGATGCATTCACAAAGTTCGTGTGGCTCTATCCAGTAAAGTCTACATCAGCTCAAGAAGCATTGCAGAAGCTGAAACTGCAACAATCAACTTTCAGTAATCCTTTTAGAATTATAAGTGACAAAGGTACGGCGTTTACCTCTAAAGACTTTGAAGATTACTGTAGTCAAGAGAAGATCCAACACATATTTACAACTACAGGCGTTCCTAGAGGAAATGGACAAGTTGAAAGGATTCATCTCACTCTGATTCCAGTCCTATCCAAATTATCCATAGGTGATCCAATCAAGTGGTACAAATATGTTGGAGATGTACAACGGATTTTGAACAGTAATAAGAGCAGAAGCACCAAGAGTTCTCCATTTGAGCTTCTCACTGGTGTCCAAATGAGAAATCGAGAGGACTTAAAGATTATGGAAATTCTTGAAGAAGAAGAAAGAAATATTATGATGAAAGATCGAGAAGATATGAGAGAGAAGCAATAAAAAACATTCTAAAAATTCAGGAAGAGAATAGAAAAACATACAACAAGAAGAGAAAAGAGGCACAAGTATACAATGTGAACGACTTAGTTGCCATACAAAGAACGCAGTATGGAGGTGGACTAAAGTTAAGGCCAAAGTTCTTCGGCCCATATCGTGTGACAGCGAGGAAAGGCAAAGATCGTTACCAGGTGGAAAAAGTGGGACACCATGAAGGTCCTGGATGTACCACTACAGCAGCTGATCTTATGAAGCCTATGACTAAATATCATTTAGTCACAAAGTAATTTGAATTATAGAAATGTTAAATAAAAATATGCAAGTACGTTTTGAAATGTATGCTAATCTATCTCATATGATTAAAAATTAATTAATGCTAATAATAGAATTTATAAGATATAAAACGAAATAAATTTCACCTCTTCCATTTTTTACTTCCTTCTAGGAAGTAAAAAGGAAGGATTGTAATCGCAAAAAATTTCGGCTATCATATTTCAACGAAATTATCCATTTTAACCGTTATGGAATGCAATTTAGTGTGTTTTTGCGTGATACCTGTACGTAAGGATAGAATAAAGAACTCTTTTTTCCCCAAAAAATGATAAAACTAATTTTAAATGAATTCCGAAGAGAACTTTTCGTGGCGTCTGTACGTACGTACGTACGAACGTACGTATGTATGTATGTATGTATCTGGCATAACTCAAAAACGAGCAGCCTCAAAACGTTGAAATTTTGTGTTTAGGACTGCTATAACGTGTAAATGTGCACCTCGTATTTTAGTTGCAATCGGCCGCACCACAATTATATTAAATATATGTAAATATATATATATAGATATCCACTCTGTTACTCGGCTCAGTGATCTCAGTTTCTTTATTCTTATATGTTTGTAAATTGTGCATTTTTTCCTTTAGAAATGATTGAATTATGTTGTTTTTATCTTCCGGTTAGGGTTTTTATGCGTTTAGTAAATCTGCATGCAATATTTGTAGAATTATCAACAATTTAAAAGTTGTTTAAGTGTTGTCGAAGCCTAATTATTTTTACCGTAGCAGCCATGTTTTGTTTACATTTGAAACTTAGCAGAATAGTGGATTTGTTGCTAGTCTAAAGAAACTTAGCTTCGCAACAACAAAGATAACGTCTTCTTATTATTGCGAATTAAATCATGGTTAATCCATTCTGGAATATATTCGAAGAAATAAGTGTTAAAAATTTACTCTGTAATTTTTAATATTTTGAGGTTTTATGTATTTTTATTTTGTCGCGAAATGAGAATTGAATTAATTGAATGAGAAATACTGAATTCTCTGTGAAAAACGGTTTCTTTCTTTCTTTTTTTTCTTTTTTTTAAAATTTCTTTTATACATTGTTTAAGATTTATTAAAGTATATGAATAGAACATATAGTAACGTTTAGATAATTCTTCAGATAATACAAATTTTGTGGATTCTGAGTTGTAAAATTTTGTATATTGCGTCTTCATTCTCCCATATTTTCTATTGTATTGTTCTTGATCATTGTATAACCATTGTGTTGTATCTTGTGGTATGGGTTCAGTGAAGTGCATACAGACTATTTCACGTCCCAAACATTTATTTCTAACTAACTCATAAGACAGCAGCAATGCGCCATTTATGCAGTTACATTACATTCTCCTCTGCTCTCGTTCACAAAGGTTCTCAGGTATAAGAGTACTGATACTCTCGAAATCAGATGCTACATCCCTCCCCACTTATTTAGAGATTTAATCTCTGAGGAGCTTTGCGGATGCTCGAAGATCGTCTAAGTCCTGGCTGAAGTTGCTGCAACTCTTTATCAGGATTCACTGGAATGACTGGCTCAGTTTTCCTTGGAACTGACGATGTTTTAAGTCCGGCTGAAGTTTGCACAGCTTCACTTCTTTGTTCGATGTCCTTGTCCGGAGCCTGTGGCTTCACGTTGCTGTAACGTCAGGACACCCGTGTCGGGTGAAAGAAAAACAGGTTGTCTTTTAAATTATTTATTTGATAAACTAAAATAGATTTCTTGATTAAAACATAAAAATAAACTGGTCATTACAGCCCTAAATCATACAATATCCGCTAACGCAGATTGGACGCAAAAAAGCGTTCTTTTTACTGTAGTTACAGCATAAAAAAAACTATTGTTCCACAGAAGCACTGGCTGCGGGGTTTAGAAGTAAAGATGCGTTCTGTCACCTCAAAATTACATGAAGAACTCTTACACAAAGATTTCACTCGTTTTGTTATCTGCGAAGAGAAACATAATTAGTTCCTTGTGTCCGGAAACTCCCAGGGGTTTTTTTCTGCAGTCCTGCTTTTTGGAGGTATGGTCCATTCCGTCCGCGAACCAAACAGGAAGTTATAATTCAGCACCTGTGCCCGCGGGGGGGGGGGTGCTAGTAGCTGTAACGTCACATTGCCATCTGAAGTAGCAGCCATACGTGGTTCATATATTACCGGTGCAGACGGAACCTCGCTCCTTACCGATCTGATCTGATCGAAGTACCGGCGCAGTAAAGTTCCTTGAACGTTAATGGTATAATGCAGGGCTCCATCCTTATTTGTCACTCTGCTAATTTTCCATCGGGAATTTGCCGATATATAATCCCGAATGGCAACCTTTTCTCCGATCTCAAAATTTTTGTCTTTGAAATCATAAGTATTCCTTCGGATGCGTTCTTCCACTCTTCGTCTAAGATTTGGAACAACTAAATCAATTCGATTTCTAATTTCTCTTTTTAAGAATAACATTGCTGGACTTAACAAGATTGTCAAGTTCGGTGCCTTTCTATAATTCATGAAAAATATGGCAAGTTTTTTGCTTAATATTTCCTGGATAACCTTGCATTGCACGCAATGCTTGTTTAACGGTGTAAACTTACCTCCCTGCTTGCCCATTACTTGCTGGTTTAAATGGAGCACACGTTGTGTTTAATTCCATTATTCCTTATAAAAGTTTCAAATTTCTCCGATGTGAACTGAGGACCATTGTCACTCACTACTACTAAAGGCAGTCCGTATCTTGCAAAACAGTCTCTCAAACATTCAATTGTCTGAAAGGAATTTGCTGATATTAAGGTATACACTTCTAGCCATTTAGCATTGCGTCAATGATAATCAAGAACATTCGTTCAAAAATAGGGCCTGCAAAATCTACGTGAATGCGTTCCCAAGGCGCACTTGGATATTCCCAGTGATGGATCCTTGCCTTTACTGGATCTGATTTGAACTTAATACAATCGACATAGTTTCTAGAAACTTCTTCAATATCATGATCAATTAATTCCCTTTCAAAAGACGTAGGATCTGGCGATTGCCTTCATTTTAACGATTCCTAAATGTCCTTGGTGTAACTCTTCGAGAATTTTAACTCGGAGTTTTTTCGGAATAACTACTCTCTGACCACTCATTATACAGTCATCTTGTAAGGTGTACTCTGCTTCCCTACCTTCCAAACTTTCTCCAGATTTTAATTTCATATAAAGAGGATTTAATTCTTCATCAGCTCGCGTTTCCCGAGCTATCTCCCTAGCTGTTACCGGAAGAGTTTCAATTTAGGAGAGTTGGAATATTTCAACATCCTTAATGCTTAAATCTTCGGACTTTAAGAGGCAAACGCAACAGGCCGTCAGCATTACCGTGTTCCTTGGTATTTCGATACACAATATTAAACTGATATGCCTGCAATATCAGTGCATAATGTAAAAGTCGGGTGGCTGTAAGGATAGGAAGTCCTCTTTTCGATTTGAAAATAGCCACTAAAGGTTTATGATCTGTCACCAGAGAAAATCGTCTCCCCTTTAGAAATAGATAAAACTTTTTGACAGCCCAAACAATTGAAAGTGCTTCTTTATCGATTTGGGCGTTTTTCTGCTTTGCGTTAGTCAATGTCCTCGATGCGAATGCTATAGGTCTTTCTGTTCCATCAGACAAAATATGCGAGAGCACTGCCCCAAGACCTACCGGAGATGCATCAGTAGCTAGCATTAACGGTAGTGTGGGATCGTAATGCATTAAAACTCTGTCTGAACAAATTTCCTTTTTAATTTTTTCAAAAGCGATTTGGCAGTTTTTTGACCAACTCCATTTAACACTTTTTTTTTTTTTTTTTTTGTTGTTAAATTATTTAAGGGATGTGCCAAATTAGGGCAAAATTTGGCATAAAAGTTCAGTAATCCCAAAAGCTTTTGACGTCTTGGACGCTTTTCGGGCGTAGAGGCATAGCAATTGCCGAAATCTTTCATCCGTTTATGCAACCATCGGCATCAATTTATGCCCTAAAAATTTAATCTCATTTTGAAAAAATTTACTTTTAGTTAAGCTTAAATTTAGGCCGTGCCCTTGCATTTTTGAAAAATAATTCCAATGCTTTTAAATGAGACTGATCATCTGGTCCTGTCACTCGAGCATCATCTAAATATTTTAATTCCTTCGATCCCCTGAAATAATCCCCAACATAGCGCGCCAAATAGCTGGGGCAGCATTTAATCCATACATTAAGCGTTTACAATATACAACCCCTATGCATATTATTGTTAATAATTGCTGGCTCACCTTCATTTGTAGATAAGCATGACTGAAATCAAGTTTCGAGAAATTTTTACCTCCATTAAGGCATGAAAATATTTGTTCGAGTTTTGGTAATGGGTGCTGTGGAACTTCCAAATTAAGATTCAGTCACAGAATAATCAGCACAAAGCCTAATGGAACCATCAGATTTAACAATTGGCACAACTGGTGTTGCCTATTCTGAAGTCTCAACCCTCTCAATGATACCTTCTTTCTCAAGGCGATCAATTTCTGATTCACCTCTATTTTTTAATGCGAAAGGTACCGATCGTGACCTACAAAATATTGGCTGAATATTAGGTTTCGAATTTAGTTTTACTTCGTGATTGTTAATTTCACCTAATTTACCGTCAAAAATTTCCTTATGCTCCTCAAGCAATTTTTTTAATTCAATTCACTAGAAGTTTTCAATGTTTTGATGGCATTCCAATCGAGATTGATTTTATACAGCCATTCTCGGCCGAAGATTGTGTCCAAATTTTCCTTCACAATGTATAAATTTAAAACTAATTTTTGACCTTGGTATTCAACTTTAACATGAACATACCACCTTATCATCCCTCTAAGTTTTAAAAACTAAATTTGTAGGTTGAACCTTTTTATTTGAAATTTTTCTAAATTTATTTATAGACATTACCGAAACTGTTCCCCCAGTATCAAGTTCCATGCTAACAATTTTGTTTTCAATTTTAACTTGAACCATTATTGGTGGTCTTTTCGGCTCTTCCTCTAAAACATGTGCGTTCTGGAGCTAAATCCATAGATGGGGACCTCATTTTTCGAATCATAATCATCATTTGCTTCAACTTTCTTTTGCTTAACCTGTCGGTTTTTCCTAGACATTCAAACACGCCCTTTCGATATGTCTAATTTTTTACAAAAGCGGCATACTTGTTGCAAATCTACAGTTGTTTTTACTGTCATTTGCTCCTAAGCAACGCGAACAAGTTTCATTTTTACCTTATTACTCTAGCACAAAGTTTGTTTCCGCGGTTTGGACTATTTTTCTTGGTTTAAGTACCTTCAGTTCTTGAATTTCTATTTAATTCATTTGCACCCTTAACCGCCTTTTCCATCGCCAAGGCTATGTTTAATGTTTTCTCTAAATCAATAACATCTTCCTGAAATAATCGATATAAGATATTACGATCTTGTAGACCACTAACGAAAACACATCTTAACATTGTATTTAGCATATCCTCTTTTTATTCACAAGGAATTGTTAACGAGCATAATTCAGTGACATAACTATTAATTGATTCCCCTTCATGCTGTTTTCTATTAATAAACATGTGTCGAATAGGTATTATTAAAGCTTTAGGATTTAAATGATCATTAAAAACCTTTTTTAGTTTGGTAAAATTTTTATCTGAAGGATTATCTGGAGAGAGTAAATTTTTCAACAAATTACACAATTTCGCATTCAAGCTTGAGATTCAGAACTTTCCCACGTTTTGCCTCTGGAACATTTTGAATGTCAAAAAAAGCCTCAAATCGTTCAATGAACGAATCAAAATTTTCTACTGTTTCATCGAACTTATCAAAAGAAACAGAAATTTTGTCTTGTTTATGTTTCGATTTCTCTTGCAATGCGACCATTAAAGCTTCATTCTGCTTTATTAATTCTTCAATTAACTTATTTATTAATTCTCAATTCCTTTCAAAATGAAAATCAAATAACTTTCCTACCTTTTGCAGTTTTCGGGGAATCCCCTAATCCAAGTTTCGGTTTTGCTACTACTTACGCATGTAACCGAGTGCGCCGAGTCGGGAACGATTTTCTTCTCACGCACCTTCGTCGCCAATATGTTGTGTCTTGCGGTGTGGGTTCAGTGAAGTGCATGACGCTACCAAACAGACTAGTTCACGGCACAAACATTTATTTCTAACTAATTCATAAGACAGCTGCGATGCGCCATTTACACAGTTACATTACATTCTCCTTTACTCTCGTTCACAGAGGTTCTCAGGTATAAGAGTACTGATACTCTCGAATTGTATAACCACTGATTATTTTTCAACTCTCGTCCAGTATTGAGTCATCTGTCTAATTCACTCTTGGCTTTGGTCCTTTTTTTCCTTTCACATTGCTTCCGATTTCTCCCCTAAGATTGTCTCCACGTCCAATGCTCACTACTGTCATGCGCCTTCGGACGTCACTTCATTGAACCGGCAGCGTGGCACCTGGCAATAGCCCAGTCATAATATGGAGGCTGAATCTTATTAAATGAAATGAGGAGCAAGTAAAGTCGCGCAGTAATCATCTTGGTTTCAAGTAGTTATAAAATGAATGAAATGTAACGTTATTAAGCGAAACAAGCGCCAGAATGTCGCTATGTAAACAAATATAGTGAATTTTAAAGAGTGCATTTATTCTATTGTGGTTTATGCGCTATCGACGACGTAGATTTAATTCAATCCAATAAGTTTAAATGAAATGAAAGAAAAATGGGTATAATTTAACATTCCGTACAATGAAGTCATGTGGTGTATACATTAGATTTTTTTCATTAATGCATTTATTTGAGTTTTGGTAAATATGCTTTGAATATATGTTTTTATTTTTCTGTTAAATAAAAACATATGTTTTGAACATATGTTTTTATTTTTCTGTTCTTAGTTTTTCCTTTTCTTGATTAAATTTTAAATTTCTTTCCTCAGTTTTTTTTTAACTTTTTATAATATTAGTTTCAAGTCTTTTAAAATCTTTATCTTTGCTGAGAGATAGTTTTTAATTGCTGCTTTCTCTCAGTCTGTAAACCAGAAACCCTATTTTCATGAGCTGATAATTCTGTGATTAAGTCATTCACATTTTTGGAGGATGAAACAATTACAACATTGCTGCGTAATATTACTTTCAGTGAACTACTAATAGCTATTATTCTTTCTATTTTGGAATTTTAGACATGCCTTTTTGAGACTTAAATTCTGAATTCTATCAAATGCACTTTTTTGTTGCCTTTGCTGCTTCGGTGTATTCTGATAAATAACCAAGTCAAGAATACTAACAGTTGGAATAGCAGTTGACTTCACTACCTTTTTGTCGGTTATCCTAGCAACCTATTTTTCATATCATCCTCGTAATCAGATTCATTGAAGTGATTGCTGCATATTCGAGCACACTTTGCATTCACAATATCTGCTCTTCGACATACATGCAGCCATTCTTTCGTTAACTGAATGTTTTTGAACAGAAATCGATGAAATACCACGTTAGTTTCTTTCGTAGCATGATATGTATTACTACAGGTAGAAACGGCACAACATACCATTTTTTTCAATGGTTTCTCATTACAAGCACTTTCTAAATATAAAATCCGTTTAATTCGTTCAGGACCAGCGTTGCGTATACGTGAAGAGCTCCGATCAATC